ACATGCTGAAATTAAGCGAAACATAAAACCATCTAGCATCCAAGTGGGTGATAAAGCATTAATCAGAAACTTAGAGAAAGGTAAATTGAAGCCTAAATACGAAGCTAAGCCTTTCACAGTAGTTAAGGTTAATGGTGACATGGTCATTGCAAAAAGAGGCAGCGAAACAAAGGCAAGGAATAAAAGCTATTTTAAGAAAATAGACAAAGGTGATATAGTAAGTGAAAATGCATTACCAACTAGGGATACACATTCTCAGGATTCTCGTCCAAAGAGGCGTATCACTCCACCTAACCGTTTAGACCTTTAATATAGGCTACTATACACAGGCAAAGAATTACTACACGATAAAACTCACGTGTAAAGTACTTTATGAAGTTTATTGTTCATCAAAAAAATAAATAAATAAAAAAATAAAATATATAAAAAAAATAAAATAAAATAAAAATACAACGTATATATCACTAAATGAAGTCTGTACTTGTTCTTACTTTACCAAATGTTTAAATCATAAATCACATATCATTTCAGTTAGTAATTTTTATACTGTAAATGTGAAGTCACTACTGTATAACATTGTTTTTTTTAAAGAGGAAGGAGTTGTAGTGATGTGACTACGTCACGATGTTGATCATATCATGTGACTAGGGCGGCCAGCGTGATTAGCTGAAAGATATGCTAAATAAAGAGACACATAAAAATGGACACTTGTTGTAGGGTCGTTATTTGGTATGATGTGTCAATTGAATTGGAGTATCGGATGATTTGTTGCAATCATCGATAAACAATATTAAAATGCCCCTCACAGAATGGACGGAAAAAGACAAACCTCAATTGGTAATTAAATTAATTAAATTTACAATGATGAATAGTATTAGAAGTAGTAACCATGTATAAAGTTTTTCATAACCTGGTTCCATCATATTTGACTGAGTGCTTCTCAATAATTTTAAACTAAAATTACATCACCAGATAAAATAAAAGTAATGTAATTTTCCCCCCACCCACCACCCCATTTTCTTTTTCTTGTGTGATGTTTGTGTGTGTTGCTGAATTTGGGATTACAGTGATTTGGTTCACTTTAGTTTACCTTGGTTTCCCCAGGCTTCGAGGGTTTTTTTTTTGCCACTCTCATTTTAGTACATTATGTTGTTAAAAAGACCAAATAAATAATGAAATGAAATATATGAAATGAAAGATGATCTTCCACACACTGAATATAAACTCCCAAAACACTGCTTTTTTCCAAGGAAGTATAGAATAACTCCTTTGTAGTTAAAATAACTCATTAAAAACAACAGTGTAGGATTTGCCTAACTACACTTTTTTGCATCATCTATTATTCTTTTACAACTGTCATTTTTCTTGATATCTACGATGTATACAAGGCAAATATTAATTAATTTCATTATAATATTTTATTTTTAGGTTCCCACTGATGATGAGAAAGGTATTCTTGAAACATGTATGCTTCACGATTGGGCTCGCTATCAAGTTCAAGATTAAAGACAGTTTGTTGTATAATTAAATGCCTTGTGGTGTATATTTATATTTCAGCCGCTCTGAGTTTCTTTTCTATTCTTCCTTTATCTTTTTATATTTTGTGTTATTTCTATTCATAAAAAATAGATTACTTAAACATGCATTCATATACTTATTTTTAAATAACACTTTGTTATTGTTTTAAGTACTGTGTCTGTATTTAACATTTTTCTATGTCAATTTAAATTCGGAGGTATGTCTGGTATCTTCATAAGACGTTTATGAATGGATACTTCGTTCGAAGCAAGAAATCAAGTTGTTTACCCAGAAATTTAATCATGAAAACACTATTTGCCAATCTAGCAACATGGACATTTCAGGTAAGTAGGCCTAATAAAATGTAAAAAATGAGGGAAACTTCAAACAATACAGTTAAACAAAGCAACCAAATTATCAAAAGAAGTCAATTGATTAGACGAAACCGATTAGAACACATGATAAAACTGCCAGAGGATACAGTACTACCAAAACAGATTATTAACAAACCTCTCAAAACTTCACATTTACATTAAAGTGAAAGAGCAGTGGATGGACAAAATTTAAGTAGAAGTGCCTGGTATTCAGTTATTACTATTAAATTACCGTACAGTTTAAAATTCTCGTACAAGAAAAATAGCAAAATAAGAATTCTACTATTTTTCAGCAAGTGCTTCACAAGTTAAAGTGAAAGAGTGACAGACGGACGGACAAAGTTCCCTAGAAGAGAACTGCCTAAATGTGAGTATAATAAGTCATTAAAATAAATAAGATTTAATTAATATTATATTAGCGCAGGTGCCTCACGCCTATCTGTACAGGCGGAGTAATATGGTTTAGGTCATGCCTTTCGGTTAGAGAGTGTATCCTTGCTACGAGATGCTCTTTGACAAATACTATGGCGCCAGTTCATACTAGAGGCGAGTCTCTCTGAACCCTTGGTTCAATTTATATTATCAATCTGTTAAACTGGGAAAAACTTAAGTATGTCAATCCAGATATTAGTTATGGTATTAGGGGATAGTTTTGTCTCCAGAATTCAAAGCCAATTACAGTAGTTGGTAGATAAGCGAATTTCAGTTTTGCCAGCACGCAGTTTACAGTCGATTGCATAGGCCTAAGTGGCGCTAACGTCGAAAGCTGGCTTGTTAAGGACTTCCCAAATGTGAGTATAATATTACTTACAAGACGACAAAGATGCTTGACTACTACCACTTTCGAAATGTTAGTATGGATATGTTAATATGATGACACGATAAACAGAATTTTTTCAACTTGTTGGGGACAAGGCTGTGAGCTGTGGTACAAATTGCCACCATAGATGGACATTTTCAGTTTATACTTAAAAAATGCTCACCAAAAATGAGGTTCTGGAGCAAGTCGAAGTCCTTTTCTTTGATTTCTTCGCAAAGACCAAACCAAACAAATGTGGAATTGACAACATATGGATCACCCACACCCACAACCCAAGAAGAAGTAGAAGTAACAATCAACAAATGTAATGACATCAATGGCGAAATCATGAGAAATTTTAGCAACTACGCCAACAAAACCATTGGGCCAGACGACTTCATTAACTTCTGAATGGGGACAAAACACTCTTTAACAAAATGTATGTGTTGAATTACGTAGAAATTGCTTTAAGAGACATAAACAAACTTGTAACAGGGATTTTTCGGAAAAAGAAGTAAATGCACAAGAACAAGTGTTCTCAACACATTGCAAGAAAAGCGTTCAAACAAGGCTGTGAGTGATAAAAATATGGATTCTGGACAAGACAAGGCAAAACCTCAAGGTACTACCATGGATGAACATTTGGAAATATATGTTTCAAAGATGATGAGGATGTCTGATAGCTACACCACCAAAACGTTAATACAAGGATACAGAAAATTTTATTCAGGACGAAGATGAAGAGAAGTCCCAATTCCCGATGAAAAAATGCAGTTGCAAATAAACGAGATGCATGTACAATAGCACCGCTAAATTATGCAGAAATTGCTTTTAAAACATTTTTTGTAGTTAAACTTGATTTTTTAAGCTTATTAAATGAAGAAATCTGTTCTATTTGTTAAAATATATGTATTTATCTATTAAATCAACTCTATTTTTGAAAATATATTTTTGTATTCAAAGAAAAAAGAGACATTTTGGTAGAAAATTTAAACAGATGGGAATACTGTAGCTATCTACAGGTTCTATGGTTTATATTTAGTTGTTTTTTCATGACAATTTCAAATTAACCCTCAATGACTTTCTCATGCATTCAGAATTATGAACTGATATTAGAAAGTATTATGGCTGGTGAAATATATAAATACTAAAGTTGCATTTTTTAAAACTTAAAGCAATTTCCTAAGAGATGAAAATCACAAACCAGGTATGACTACAATACGATAACAATGCTGATATCTTGGCAGGCATCAGAGTTTGCTTTTCAGTCCTGCATCTGAAGCACTGTAACATGTTCCTGGTTTATTATCACAACGCAGATGTTGATTGAAAAATGCTAATATGTTTCGCCACGCATCCTCTTGTGCCTCGGCATGTTCATTGGTTCTTCCACCAAATAATCCTACACCCACTGTTAAAAAGAACATGATCATGAATTATTTTAATGGAACTTGATAGTCACATGTTGGAATCTTTTAACCACAAAAAATTCTGAAATACAATGCTATTTTAAGATGCACCTAAAGCTGACCATTCACTCCGCGCGATGGTCATCGGCCGACGTGATTCTGTGAAGAACGCAACGCTACCAAAAATCGGCAGACGGGGTCGCGTTGCCTAGCACTCTCAGGGAACAGAGTTTGATTAATCGTGCGACGGTCATATGACCGTGGTATGACGCAGTGAAGTGCCTGGCTTACCCAACAGACAGATTATCTCAAAGAAATTTGTTGAAATAATTATAATATCAATAAAATACAAATTACTAAAAAAGCAAGTTAATATTCTTATAAATGAAAATGCTTTTTAAAGTTCCCTTGTATTGTGATTAATAATAAACTGTATAGAAATTTTGTGTGATTTGTCTGTACCAGTATTAGGGTCTGTTAACATTATATTACATCCATATATAGGCATCATGATGTAAAATCATGCCCACATGGGCAAAAAAACAGGTATAATCCTTGATAATAAATATTTGAGAAAAACTCCATCAGGATTCGAAACCCAAGACCTTCCAATTACTGTTCAGATACTCTACCAACTGAGCTACCAACAGATGTACACCACCAAGTGGTGTACATCTGTTTTTTCCCCATGGTATTGCATAATATGCAAAGAATAACAGTAAACTTTCAGGTATAAACCAATTGTTATACCAAGTTCAGAATTTGCATTTAGTATTTTGCCATGCAAATGGTAGAAGGCATATTTACTTAAGCTAAAAACATAAAACGAAAAAAAAAAAACCGGAAATAATTTACACTTTAGGAAACATATCAATAAAATGGGGGCAACCTACTACTCGTACAAGACGTACCAAATATTATTTATTTATTTATTTGTTATTCTAAACGCCCCAGCGGGCATCCCTCCAGCATTTTCAATCTGAAGTTTTACATTTTTATATTTACTCAATTAGTAATTTTAATATTCAATTTTAACTTTTACATTTTTTTAATTTTGAATTTTGAATTGGCCTATGTTTACCTGTTTTATATATTTTACTATATATTCTAAACCTTGCCAGATCACTATCTGTAAATATTCGATCTTGTGCAATAATTACCCTGGCTTCTGGACCCCATTGGAAATAAGTCTGGTGTACAATCACTAGACTTAATGGGTCATCCAAGCATTCAATTAATTATTCATCTCCTTTTTTTATGTTCGTTCTCAATTTGTTATTGTTATGTGTGATATTGAATGCAAAATAAATCAAATCAAATCAAAGTGATTTCAATCATCTCCCCCACGTTGGGAGTCGACAAAGAACTGAGCCAGGAATAAACAGGGCCAATTTTGGGGATAACTCTAGGAGATAATGATCCATTCTCAGGATATGGTTGAGGTATTTCCATCGAGTTTGTCTCACACGGTCAAGAACTTGGAAATACTATTTTTGGTGATCACTGATAACATCTTTGAGTTTACTTACTTCTGTTGCCTTGATAAACTTCACTACTTAGTGGCGTGTACGGCGGTTCAAGCATATGTCCTGCTCCTGGGTAGCTGATTAATGTCCAGTTCTCTTTCTTGTGATCTCTCAGACGTTGACAAGCTTGGTCAGCTAACTCAGCGCTTTTAATTGCCCAATCATCTTCACCAACGACAAACAAAAAAGCACTGGTTGCTTTCTCAATCTACACAAGAAAAGAACCACAATTCCTTGTGTAGTAACATATGTAAATCAACTACAGTTGGTTGGGGAATGTATGTCTGTTGAATTGTAAAAATATTATTAACACAAATAATAATATAATAACAACAAAAACTATAAAATTACAATAATAATAACAATAACAATGATAATAATAATAATAATAATAATAATAATAATAATAATAATAATAATAATAACAGAATACTTATAATAAAAATAATAATACAGTAATAATTATATAACAATAACAATACTAAAAACAAATACAGATATTATTAAAGACCAAATCATAACTTTAATATGGTTTTCATCCAAGTGAAATAAAGAAACACCAATTAACCAATGTTTAATGCATTCCTCATACAATGGCTTTGGACTAGCATGGGATCAGAATAAAAAATTACCCATCAGACTAGCATGGTAGTTCTGTGTCACTTCAGGTCATCAAACAAAAACTTTTACTTTTGGGAAATCCTGCCCATTAATAGTCTTTTGTGTTAAATGTATTTGTTGATGTTTTTATTGTGCTTCTTTGTATGGTTTTGATAGTTGGCGAAATAAATGATACGATTGCCGTTTCTAATATTGTGGTCTAATTACCATCCAAAGCCATAACATTTCTGCCGATTAATCCTACCAGTGTTTTACTCCAGACTGATGACCGGAAGCACTAGGTTGTCACTCTGTTCAAAACCCCCTTATGGTAAGTTTCTTGAGCCACAAACACTAAATGTGTTAAAACCTATTTCAATCCATTAACAAACATACTTCAATAAAACCTTCTTTTTCAAGGTAAGGCCCAAAAACTGCACACTGTCTTGTGTCTTGCTTATCATCAACGAATATAATCCGAGAAATATCATAACTGCAATATGAAAAGAGAGAAATGTGGTGATGTTTACAAAAATAAAAAAAAGTTCAAAAATGACCTGACCATGATCAGTGATGTAAACAAAGAAAAAGGGGGTGCCTGAGCACCCTCCCAAAACCCTTTATGTTCAAAACATAAAAAAGTATAGTAAATTAATGGAAATAAATTGCAAAGTTCCTTAAAGCCTTGCACTCACTGGGTCATACGACCGTCAGCGGATAATTCCAACTCTGCTCGCTGTGAGTGTTAGATGATGCGACATTGTCTGATTGTTGATGGCAGTCTGAAAAGATCGTCATTAAGAACAATTCATTGCGCGCGCGTTGTGGTGTTGCATTCTCCATATTATCGCGGCGGCCAACGACCGACGGTCGCAGAGAATGCCCAGCTTAAGACAACCACAGCAGTCAAAAGCCATCGATCTGCTCTGTCCCCTAGATTTGCACCTTGCACCAAGTTCAGTGGATGTAGTATTTCTGTCCAACACCCCCTCCCCACATACCACCCCCTTTTAAAAATCCTTTATACACCACTGATGATAATCAAATTCAAATTACACACACACTATCAGAATCATCACAGCAGTAAAAGTGAATGGTGATAACAAATAGAAACAGCCAATTTTAAAATACATCTGCCTCCCCCCCCCCCCTCCCCCTTCACTTCGTCACTAGCACTGGTGAAAAAATATGATTCATCAAATGAACAGAATGTCAAACAAACCTTGCACTTGAAGTAATGGAATAAGATAGGAAAATTGCAGAAAACTATGTATGATGAACAATACATCATAACATTTTGAATTTATGCACAATAAATATACAACATTAACTACAATGGCTAAACAATGCATTTAACATACAAGTATTTACTGTATGTAATAACATTATTCGAAGATACCAATGCAGACACAGCTATTGCTATTACCTTACCCTAGCTGGTAAGATAGATGCATATGTCCACTAGAGTAAGTAGCCCTCCTGGCTATGAGAGTTGAATATATCTCCAGCTTAAATAATAATAATAATAATAATAATAATAATAATAATAATAATAACACATTTGTAATTATACAGTATCTTTTAAAGCTAAAAACAAAATTTGTATTGGCTTACACTAATATCATTCTTACATCATAACTGGTTTTTCTTCATTTTTGTATAGTCGTGCCGGGCTTTCTTTAAAATGATAATGTGATCCATTGATGCAAACACATGCCTTGATCTATGAAATGAATCAATGTTGATTATTAATATTCAAAATTTTCTATAAATTTATCAATAAAGATAATGATATTCATGATACTTGCATATCCCTTGTGCTGCATGCAGTTTGTTTTTTGCACGATATTTATAGTATTTGCATATCACTTGCGCTGCATGCAGTCTGTTTTTAAATGATATTCATAGTATTTGCATATCATTTGCGCTGCATGCAGTTTGTTTCTAAATGATATTCATAGTACTTGCTTATCACTTGCGCTGCATCCAGTTTATTTTTTAATGATATTCA